GCAGACGGATCACCTGAGGTCAAGAGTTCGAGACCAGACTGACCAACATGGTGAAACCTGTCTCTACTAGAAATAAAAAAGTTATCTGGGCATGGTGGTGCACGCCTGTAATCCCAGCTATTCGGGAGGCTGAGGCAGAAGAATCGCTTGAACCAGGAGGCGGAGGTTGCAGTGAGCTGAGATCATGCCATTGCACTCCAGCCTGGGCAATGAGAGTGAAACTCCATCTCAAAAGCAAGCAAACAAACAAACAAACAAAATGGATTCATTGTCATTATGAAAAAAATCAGAAAATAAATAAGTAAATGTAGTTACTATAATGCTGGCATCTATATTCCAACAGTGTTAATATTTAGTTCGTATGTTTTTAATCATAGCATAGATTTTTAAAATACTTTGAATTGAGCTACATAAACAATTTTTTTTTTTGCATTTCATATCTCAGGAGGAGTATTTGTTCATATTACTAAGACCATGTATGAGCATCACTGATGACCGGCTACGTCTCTTCCCATCATAGGAATGTGTCATCATCAATGTGATCATTCTCCTATTATTGAACATTTCATTTTCACGTTTTAAAAATCTTGGCTTTGGCTGGGCGGGGTGGCTCACGCCTGTAATCCCAGCACTTTGGGAGGCCAAGGCAGGCGGATCACCAGGTCAGGAGATGGAGATCATCCTGGCTAACATGGTGAAACCCAGTCTCTACTAAAAATAAAAAAAATTAGCCGGGCGTGGTGGCGGGCGCCTGTAGTCCCAGCTACTCAGGAGCCTGAGGCAGGAGAATGGCGTGAACCCGGGAGGTGGAGCTTGCAGTGAGCCGAGATCGCTCCACTGCACTCCAACCTGGGCGACAGAGTGAGACTCTGTCTCAAAAAAAAAAAAAAAAAATCTTGGCTTTTATGAATAACTCTTTAATAACTTTCTTGTAGATAAATCTCTGTTTATACTTTTATTATTTTTAGACTTGTATGAATATTATTATTCAGTCAGACCTAAAGCTTTAGATACCAGTTGCCCTGTAGTTTTCCAGAAATACAACGCCAGTCAGTGTTCTCTCTCCCTGGAGGTTGTCTAGTAACTAAGTTGAGCACAGTAACTTAAAATCTTTGTTTAAAATATAGGGCAAGGCTGGGCATGGTGGCTCACACCTGTAATCCCAGCACTTTGGGAGGCCGAGGCAGGTGGATCACGAGGTCAGGAGTTCAAGATCAGCCTAGCCAAAATATTGAAACCCCGTCTCTACTAAATATACAAAAATTAGCTATGCATGGTGGCAGGCACGTGTAATCCCAGCTACTCAGGAGGCTGAGGCAGAGAATTGCTTGAACCCGGGAGGTGGAGGTTGCAGTGAGCCAAGGTCGCGCCACCACACTCTAGCCTGGGCAACAGAGTGAGAATCCATCTCAAAAAAAAAAAAAAATTTGCCATTCTATATGGCAAAAATGGATAGCTCCTTATCACTTTTAATTTGCTTCTCTCTGAATCTTCTGCTGTGTTTAATTGATGATGTTATAGGCTGGCATCATGCCCAGTTTGGCCAAGAAGAATTGGTCTCCTGGTCAGGAAGGTCTTTTCCCTACAAAGTCATGGAATGACTAAGGGACTCTCCAGATGCATCTAGTTAAAAGAATAATCTGTCCATCCTGCAAAGCACACTTCCTATCCTCATTTAGAATGTTTATGCTGAGAAAGCACCACTGTTTATATTCAATTGACCAAGCTCAGGAAATGGTTCATCAAATTGGTCAGTCATTTAATTTTCTTGAGATCAGTCTTCATGATTATGCAGCTCCTAAATTTAAAAAGTCTGACTATGCACAAATTTTCTTTTTTTTCTTTTTCTTTTTTTTTTTTATTTTTATTTTGAGATGGAGTCTTGCTCTGTCACCCAGGCTGGAATGCGGTGGCGCAATCTTGGCTCACCGCAACCTCTGCCTCCCGAGTTCAAGGGATTCTTGTGCCTCAGCCTCCTGAGTAGCTAAGATTTCAGGTGCATGCCACCATGCCGGCTAATTTTTGTATTTTTAGTAGAAATGGGGTTTCACCATGTTGGCCAGGCTGTTCTCCAACTCCTGACCTCAGGTGATCTGACCTCCTGAAGGGCTGGAATTACAGGCGTGAGCCACCACATCCAGCCTATTTTTTTTTTACTGGTATCTTCGTGCCTGGATGTGAGCTCAGCAGATGAGTTCCTGCTCATATCTGGGAGGGAGAGAGCCACGTGAAAACATTACTTGATGGGTTTTATGAAGGACGTACGAGGGGAACGACAGTGGAGCCCTGTCCATCCTGAAGAGGACAGAGCGGTATTCTTGGAGGGCAGCACTAAGCAAGTCCTGAGGCACAAGCACGGCACTGCAATAATGAACGCCTTACACGATTCCAAAAGGAAAAGTCAACGTGTTGCTCCTCTTAAAATGTTTTTGGAATTGTTTGTCATTAGCTACATGTTGCTGTGGATTTGAATTATCTCCATAATTAAACTCTAACAAGTAAAAAAAATATTTTTTAAAAAACAAGATGATGGGGAAAGGCTCTTTAATGTACTCTTTGTGTTTGTAACAGAAAGGAAACAAAACAGAAAACAAACCATCGAATTGAAACCAGCACTTTCCTGCACGTTAACGAGACATCCTCACAAATACTAGAAAAAGCAGGTCACCCCTCGGTGAGGATCCCATCTACCCACACACATCCCTCTTTAAAGTCCCTGTAATAACAAGTCTGCTTTTGGTGGGGTTGTGAATGAGCAGGCATGCCCTACCCCAGTCTTCCTCTGGAGATTTCCCCCTGCTGCTGTGAGCTGATCCCTGAAGCTGGACGGGCTGTACTTTCCCACCTAAGCCATTATCTCCCCTCCACTCTCAGTGCGAGGCAAGTGCAACCTCACTCCACTGCCCCCAGACGTCAGGCAGGCCACCAGCCCAGGAGCTAGGAATGCAGGGGTGAAGGCTGCCTTCTCCAAACAGGCAAATGGAATAACTCTGACAAGAGTTGGTGTCTGGCATACCTAGTGGCATTCAGCAAACCTAGCCTGTGGGCAAGACGAGTGTCCTGTCCTGTTGTCTGGCGACTCTGGTGACTCTCCAATATCAGACCAAGAAATATCTCCTTCTGAGACAATATACACCTGCCTGAACTGGCCTGAAACGAGAGGTGGTAAAATTTCTCCCTCAGTAACATGTGGGTGATGGGATTCTGGATGAAATTTTTTCTATTATCTTAACTTTCAGTGCACCGATTAGATTGTTATTACATTTAATTGAGGGGAGAAACTGGAAGAAGGCTATAGAACCTTTTTTTTTTTTTTTTTTTTTTGAGACTGAATCTAGCTCTGTCGCCCAGGCTGGAGTGCAGTGGCGCAATCTCGGCTCACTGCAAACTCCGCCTCCCAGGTTCACGCAATTCTCCTGCTTCAGCCTCCTGAGTAGCTGGGATTATAGGCGTGTGCCACCACACCCAGCTAATTTTTGTATTTTTACTAGAGACGGGGTTTCACCATGTTGGTCAGGCTGATCTCAAACTCCTGACCTCGTGATCTGCCCGCCTTGGCCTCCTAAAGTGCTGCGATTACAGGCGTGAGCCCCCACACTCGGCTGGAACTTTTTATTACTATGCACATGTTGCAGGAAAATTAATGAAGTTAGCCTGCCTTTCCAGTATATGAAAATGTGAATCGCTTTGTTTATATGTTTGAAAAGACGTACGGGAATATATACTTAAAGTCCTGCCATAACCAGCTGCTCTTTAGCATTTGTTTCAGTGGGCACCCCCCACCCCCATCCTGCACTCTTTAGGCTGCCACTGGCTGTCCCCACTGCACGGTCCTCTGGGGACCACCCCAGAGGCTGTGTGCAGGGTCAACCAGGAACCCCATCTGCCCACCTCAGGAACAGGGCAAAGGTCCAGGAACCCACACCTCCTCCCCAACCCAGACCCCCTCCCCAACACACGATGCCCATTGGTCCTTGTCCCCACTGCCCAGTGACCACCTGGTGCTGCCCGAGGTTGCCTTCCTGTGACTGGTCTGGGTAGGGCCCTCAGGAGGGAGGCCAAGATGTGCTCGTGTGAGTGCCTCCAGGGCCAGGTCAGTGCACACTGAGGCGACAGGTAGGGCAGGCAAAGGGCAGGAGACGAAGGAGCAGGGATGGTGCAGGGGAGGAAGGGTTCTTCAACCTTGTCTTCAACGAAGCTCACACAGCAACAATGAGGGAGAGTGTTGCAATGAGGGGTGGGATGCCCCTAGGTGGAGGCATGGAGGGAACCTGCATCCAGTGGGGATGCTTCCAGGTGAGAAGGCACAAGGGAGGGGTGAGTGCAGGTGGGCTGCCCCACCAAAGGCTGCTTCCTGAGCCTGGCCTTGGTGGCTCTCTGGCTCCCCAGGCCCCAAGAATACAGGCCAGCGTGGACACGACCCAGGTAAGCAGGTAGCACTTGTGGGGTGGACAGGGAGGGGGTGAGGAGTGCTGTCGCTGCTCTGAGTAGTGGAGTTCTGGCTGACAGTGTGGGGGTCTAGGATTGGGGTACAAAAGGGTAAAAACCAACTACAACACAAGGAGATAAATGCAGCAACTGTCATACTCACCTAGTGCTTACCCCATGTCAAGTGTTAAGGGCCTTGAAGAAGTGGGTGGCTAGGAGCCAGTTCTTGGCAGCCTGGCCTCCAGGAAGGCAAGTACACACTGGGAGCACCAGCCTTGTCCTCCAGAGTGTCACAATTCAGCACTGAGTCAGGATGTAGATGGATGTGGGAGGAGACCTTGAGCAGCCAGTGGGCCTCTGTGCATCAGGACACCCTGTAGCCCCTGCCTGTACTGGGGATCAAGAACTGAAGGCCCAGTCAGGATTGCTGGCTATGATCACCCTCACCCAGCTCAACCAGAAAGCTGTCCCCACCCAGAGAATGGGGGATACCCAGAGTGCCTGGAGGATGAAGAGTGTGGAGGATCTGAGCCCACTCACCCAGAATGACACCTGGGCTCCTGCAGAGCCACTCAGGACATCAGGACACTACGTTGAGCTTCTGGGATCTGGTGGGGAAGCCTGGGCATCCCACTCAAGAGGATTTCAATGCAGCTCCACACCTCCGGCCATGAGCCCTTGTTCCTGCCTTCCCTCTGAGGATTCCCCTTTCCTTTTTTTGCAACTCACAATGAGTGTCCCGGCCTGGGCATCCTTCCAGGAGTCAGTGAAACCATTTCTGTATACCACCTTCATTGTGCCTAGCTGAGCCAGCAAGATCCAGTATCTTGCAAGCCACCAGCCTTCTCTAGGGTGATTCCAAATGAATTCTGGGAAGGCCCAGCCTCACTCATTGCCTTGAACAGAAATAGCAGCTCCCTGCTTCCCCAGCAGGCTCTGAACACTTCTCTGCATTTTTTAAATGTGCAGGCACTCTTCCGAAGGACTCAGCGTCAGCTATGTGTGAAGCAAGAGGGGTTTTAGTAAATCCCGAACCACTCAATACCCTCTCCAGGATATGTCCTCCACCCACCATAGAATTTACAAATGAGTAACAAGTGAGAAGGTGTGCTGGCTTGGGGGCACCCAGCCCTGAACTCAAATATTACTTCTTTTTTGAATAGTTGTGTGGCCTGGGCAAGTTGCTTAACTTCTCTGAAGTTGTTTCCTTACCTGCACAATAAAAGCAAGCATTTAGGAGAAGACTAAACTGAATAGCATCCATGAAAGTACTAGGTATAGTGCCTGGTGACCATGAGCTTCCTTTTCCTAAGAGCACGGGAAACTTTCCTGTAATCTACAAACGGGAATACCTAAGGTAACTCAGGTGGGGATTCTAATTTCCATTCCGCCATGGAAGGTGCATCAATGGTCTGGAACAAAGCCGCCTATTCACCAGTCACATTTGGGGGAACTTCCCCTGTGCCAATCCATAGATAAGGCACTGGGAATGTAAACATGAATATGGCTTCTGCTTTCTGGTAGCTGACAGTGTGGGGGTCTGGGATTGGGGTACAAAAGGGTAAAAACCAACTAGAACACAAGGAGATAAATGTAGCAACTGCCACACTCACCTAGTGCTTACCCCGTGTCAAGTGTTAAATACTTCCCATATTTCCACTCAATGAATGATCACACATCCCTACAAGGAACTCACAGTTATTAACCCCATTTAAAAAAAAAAAAATTTTTTAAGACAGAATCTCACTCTGTTACCCAGGCTGGAGTGCAATGGTGCGATCTTGGCTCACTGCAACCTCCACCTCCCGGATTCAAGCAATTCTCCTGCCTCAGCTTCCCAAGTAACTGGGATTACAGGCACGCACCACCACACCCAGCTAATTCTTATATTTTTAGTAGAAACAGGGTTTCACCATGTTGGCCAGGATGGTCTCGATCTCCTCACCTCATGATCTGCCCGCCACGGCCTCCCAAAGTGCTGGGATTACAGGCATGAGCCACACGCCCGGCCATTAACCCCATTTTAAGAATAAGAGCGAAGCACAGAGATGTTCCAACTTTGCCACGGAGTGGCAGAGTAAGATAATAGACCCAGTCCCGCACCCAGTTCGTGCCCTTGACCATTTGTACCAAAGACACTTGACTAATTCAACGAACAAGTACACAGGCCTCCAGAGGAGGGAAGTTTAATTCTATGTAGAATCCTGTAGGCTGAGTTCGGGAGTGAATAAGGCTTTGATGCACAGAGAAGGTGGGAGAGGCATTCCAGAGAGAAGGCACAGGTTGAGTGAAGATGCAGTTGCAAGAAGCTTGAAGGCCGAAGGCCACATAGAGGAACGGTCCTGGAGGGGATGTGAGGAAGTCAGGACAGAGGCAAAATGGAAATGGAGGCCTCCAAAGTCACTCACTTAATTACAGGAAAATCTAATTATACTATTCATAGATGGGAAAAGGCAGCCAGGAAGCAGAGCAGCAGCACCAAAGGAACAAAGGAGATCAAGTGAAAGGTGTCCATGTCTGCAAGATGAGGTGCTCAGGGCAGGGGGTGCAGGATAAGCTGGGAGACGAGTCTGGAAGGGCAGTTGGTAAGGGCCAGAAGTGGCTACATCTTGGTCACGGGGAGCCCTTGACATACCCCCAACACCACCTACCAAGACTGATACTCTCAGGTGTGTGGGAAGCAACATGCACAGTGGGCTACTGTGAAAAGACGCATGTGCTCAGGCGCATGTGTGTACAAAAAGAGATGTTCAAGGGTATCAACAACCCCTTAGTGAAAATATCTTGAGGCTCTTGAGACAGGCTGACAATTTTCTGATACTTTTCTTAAGGCTTGCTAGTGCCGTCAGGCTGCTATAACAAAGTACCATGGACTGGGTGGCTCATACACAACAGAAATTTGTTTCTTGCAGTTCTCATGGCTGAAAGTCCAAGATCAAGGTGCCAGGAGATTTGCTGTCTGGGGAGAGCCCACTTTCTAGTTCACTGATGATGCCATCTCCCTGTGTCCTCACATGACAGAAGGGGTGAGTGAGCTCTAAGGGCCCTTATCGCATCACACAAGCCGAGCACTGAGAAGCTATGCGGTCCCTGAAGGCCCACTCCTGGTCAGACACCTCTGTGTTTCTCTCTGTTCTGGTCTTGACGGAATCTAAACAAACGAAAGGCAGTTCTTGAGCCTGTGTAGCCCCCTAACCTGGGCCAAACTCCAAACACACCTGGATCTTCACCTTTGTCATCTGTCAATTGTGACCGATAAAAATACCTTCCTCCGGCCGGGCACGGTGGCTCATGCCTGTAACCCAAGCACTCTGGGAGGCCGAAGCGGGCGGATCTTGAGGTCAGGAGACTGAGACCATCCTGGCTAACACAATGAAACACCGTCTCTACTAAAAATACAAAAAATTAGCCGGGTGTGGTGGCGGGTGCCAGCTATTTGGGAGGCTGAGGCTGGAGAATGGTGTGAACCCGGGAGGGGGAGCTTCCAGTGAGCCGAGATGGTGCTACTGCACTCCAGCCTGAGCGACAGAGTGAGACTCCGTCTCAAAAGAAAAAACAAAACAACAACAACAACAAAAACCTTCCTTCCAGGTTTTAGTCACTTTTCCCCCGGCACCCCTGCTAGCCACGTGGTAAATGTTCAATACAACTAATATCAATAATGACTCAAGTTTATTGATCGCCACCTCTCTCTTTCCTCCATGGAGTGCTTACTGGGAGGATGGAGCCTCTTGGGGCACGTGGCTTTCCCACACATCTGCATCAGCCATCGCGAGACTCCGCAGGCCAGCACTGTGGACAGGCAGACAGTGAAGCCCCCCAGCCAGAACAGCTCAGCCTGCCAGGAGAAGCAGAAACCCCCAAAGTAATCACTTCTCAAGCGCCTTTGAGACCCCAGATGTTAGGAAAACAATTATTTTCCCTCGTGTAAGACATGCCCAGTTTCTTTCCCTCTGCTAAACAAATCAAATACAACCCTGAGCCCTCCTCCTTCTAGCCTGGTGGAAAATCCAGCCTTGACATTCTGAGGGCCTCTCTCTACCCCACAGGGAGTTACCAAAGCCCTGAGAGCTTTTTCAAATTTTATGGATAACAAACATTTGAAAAAAGACAAAAAATCAAATTATCATGAAGTGGACACACCCATAGAACCACTTCCCAGGTCCAGAAAGAACAACAGTCCTCCAGGACCACCCCCCACATCCCTCCCAGCATCCACCCTTCCCAGGCCCCACAAATGACCACTGTCCTGACCGCTGCCTCCCTCCCTGGGGCCCGGCCAGAGCCGCATTCCTGCTGTTGACTCTGTTAGTGACCTCCTCATCCCACTGCTCGGGTGACTCGTCTGCCAAATGCAAGAATCAAATGGGGACAGGAGTCTAGTGTACCCACTGAACCCTAAGCCCCAAAGTAGGAGCTTCAGCCACATAGCTTTGGGTTTTCCCAGGATCCCTCGGGTGCCCTGCCTGGGGCGTAGGATGCCAGGGGACAGGAGCTCTGCTTTCATGACGGGTGAATCCTCGGTTCTCCTGTAAGTGCGGAGAAGCTGGGGTAGTTCCCACACTCAAACATTCCCCAAGCCAGGGCTGGGCGCCTGTGGGAATCCCAGCAATCCTACAGTTTCACTCAAGTCCTATAATTTCCCGCACCCTGCCTCTATTTCAGGGACCTGCTGCTCAGAATTTGGAAATGCAGATGTGGTTTGCCTGTGTTGCCACTGCTCTTGTGAGTTGTAAGGCAGTGATTACAGGCTCCGTGGGCAGCAGGGAGCAGCCAACTTGATTGACGGCACATTTTTAGCTTATTTTAAAATCAGCAACAGCATTAACAAAAATCTTGTGCCTTCCCATTTATATTTTCTTCCAAAAGAAAAAACACTGTACTTCCTAGCAGTCTGCGGCCGGAATGAGAAGAAAGGAGAAATCATTTGAAAGTGCGAGGAATATCAGAGGAAATTTTAGAAAGGACTTTAGGCCATGTCTAGCTTTCTCATAGTAGTGACCCTGTTCCTCCCCCCAAACTGGAGCATTTTAATTTTTTTTTTTTTTTTTTTTTTTTTTTTTTTTTTTTAGACAAAGGAGCCCAGGCTGGAGTGCAATGGTGTGATCTCGGCTCACTGCAACCTCCGCCTCCCAGGTTCAAGCAATTCTCGTGCCTCAGCCTCCTGAGTAGCTCGGATTACAGGTGTGTGCCAGGACACCCAGCTAAGTTTTTGATATTTTTAGTAGAGACAGGCTTTCACTGTGTTGACCAGGCTGGTCTCGAACTCCTAACTTCAAGTGGTCAGCCCACCTCGGCCTCCCAAAGTGCTGGGATTACAGGCATGAGTCACCGGCCCAGCCGATTCACTTCTTCATAAATCATCCAAACCAATGATTTGGTTCCAAAAGAGACAGATATCATTCAAACACCTTTTCCTTTAGTTCATACTGTAAGACAATGTGTTTTAGCTACATTTTGCTTGAAATCCACAAACTTGTCAGATACCCACCTGGGTAGAGCAGGACAGCAGAACTGAAGGGCAAGAGGGCTCATCCAGACTTCCCTCCCCGAGCTCCAGGGAGAAGGTTGATCACTTTGATCTAAACCAGGCAAGGCAGAGACCTAGGAGGCAGGAAGTCAGTTTATAGGACGTGACATTGGCATTTGCCCAGTGGGTGATGCAAGAGGGAGGTTGAGGTCGTAACACGTCATTTTCATGCTGCATCTTACAAAGACCCCTGACCTCTGAGCTAAACTGACTTGGGGCAGCTCCCACCTGGTGAGCCTCAGCTCCTCCTCCTCAGATGAGGCTGTCACCTTGCAGGTAAGCAGAGGGCTTGTGAGTCTCAAAGGAAAGAAGCTCTAGGAGAGGAAAGGCTCTGTAGCCATGGGCCTGGAGGGGCCTGAGGCTCTATTTGTGGAATGAGTGTGTTAGATGAACTGGGGGTCTGGACCAGATAAGAAAGTCTCCAGGTTTAGGCAGTACATGTGTCCAGTACAGGCAGCAGAAGGACATACTGGCCAGAGGGGCTGAAGCCGTCACTCGGGCCCCAAGGCCAGAGGGTCCAAGGTACATGATAGAGATGGCCGGTGTGGCTGAGAGGCATGAAGTTGGAAATAAAAAATAAATTATGGAATCAGAGAGAAGCATGAGTCGTTTTCCATGGACTATGCCTGATATTCGTGTTCAATTTAACCTGATTTAGAACTGGTTCAGTTTTATCATTTTATTTGTACAAACTTATGGAGTACAAGTGTAACTTTGTTACACAGATATATTGTTGTATTAGTCTGTTTTCACACTGCTATAAAGATACCACCCAATTTAAAAAAAGAAAGAGGCTTAATTAACTCACAGTTTCGCATGGTTGGGGAGACCTCATGAAACTTACAATCATGGCAGAAGGCGAAGCAGGCACCTTCTTCAGAAGGTGGCAGGGGAGAGAATGCAAGCAAAGGAGTGACTGCCCAACACTTACAAGCACATCGTTCTTGTGGGAACTCCCTCACTATCACTAGAACAGCATGGGAAAAGCTGCCTCCATGATCCAATCACCCTCTGCCACATCCCTCCCTTGACACAACACGTGGGGATTACAGTTCCAGATGAGATTTGGGCGGGGCCACAGAGCCAAACCATATCAAGTGTGTAGAGGTATTTTAGTGTATTCAACATCCAAATAATGTACATTATACGTATTAAACAATTTCTCATCATCCACCCCTCTTCTTCCCCCCACCCTTCTGAGTCTCCCTTCTGAGTCTTCATGGAACTGGTTCATTTTTATGTGAAACTGCAAACACAAACCACTCCCAAGGACTTGGAATTTCCAGAGTGGCCCCCTTCTGCCTCTTAGGACTCAACTGCAAACAACATACAAGAAAAGGTGATCATAATGTCTTATTTTAAGTCTCAATTTCATCATCTCCAAGCTTGTCTCATTACAGGCGTGAGCCACAGTGCCCAGTCTAATTTTTGCGTTTTTAATATAGACAGAGTTTCACCATTTTGGCCAGGCCGGGATCGAACTCCTGACCTCAAGTGATTCACCTGCTTGGTCTCCCAAAATGCTAGGATTATAGGCGTGAGCCACCCTGTCTGGCCTGATTCTTCTTCTTCTTCTTTGTTTTTGTTTTTGTTTGTTTGTTTGTTTGTTTGTTTGTTTTAAAAAAAGACTTCATACTTTTCTTTCTTGAGCCTGGGAGGCAGAGGTTGCAGTGAGCTGAGATCCCATCACTGCACTCCGGCCTGGGTGACGGAGTGAAACTCCATCAAAAAAAGGAAGGGAGGGAGGAAGGCAGAGAGGGAGGGAGGGAAGGAGAGAAGGAAAAAAAAGAATCAATATTGCATTTAGAAAAAAAAGTTAGAAACTTCAAAAGTACCCTTTGAAAAAAGCCTTGTTACCTCATTTTATTTATTATGTATTTATTTATTTATTTATTTTGAGATGGAGTCTCACTCTATCACCCAGGTTGGAGTGCAGTGGGGTGATCTCGGCTCACTGCAACCTCCGTCTCTCGGGTTCAAGTGATTCTCCCTTCTCAGTCTTCCGGGTATCTGGGATTACAGAAGTGCACCACCATGCCCAGATAATTTCTGTGTTTTTGTAAAAATGGGGTTTTGCCATGTTGGCCAGGCTGGTCTTGAACTCTTGACCTCAGGTGATCTGCCCACCTTGGCCTCCCAAAGTGCTGGGGTTACAGGCATGAGCCACTGCGCCCAGCCATTACCTTCTTTTATAAATGAGAAAATAGAGCCTCAGGATTCTAAACAGCTTCCTTGAGGCCAGAAAAGTGAGAGACAGAGCTGGGATTTGAGTTCAGACACTCCAGCATCAAACTCCATGCTCAGCCTCAACCCTGTTGCTTCTCCTAAGCCTAAGTTTGCTCTCAAACTTTTTCCCTAGAGAATCTCTACTTACCAAGGCTCTGAGGATAGACCTGGGTACACAATTCAGATTTGTCCGGCACATACATGAAATATTTTAGATGATTCTTCATTTATTTTAGAAAATTCTTCTGAATTGGGCATTTCGTCCACAATTCATGTGGGTTTATTTTGAGGTTTTGTGTTGAAATGATTAGATAACAACTGGAGTTCCCCTGAGAAAAGCTGCAAACACTTAGACCTCACATCCTGGAGCCTGCTGTCCTTAGGGATTTTTCAGTAGGGCTAGTAAGAGTAGCGGAGGTGTCCTGAGGCCTCGTGTACTCATGAGTTCCAGTAAAATTGGCCAGTGGGAGGAGGAGGGGCACCAAGGCTGCATGATGTGTGGCGCAGCCCCTGGGAGCTGCAAGACACTGGATGAGTGGCTTTCTGAATCTCACTTTCTGATCCTGTTAAAGAGGGCTAATTACCTTGCCCCTGCCCTGCCCACATCTTGAGTTTTTGAGAGGGTCCAGATGAGATTGATATATGTAAAACTGCCTCACAAAGATGGTAGAAACCTTTGATTTTGACCCAGTAGGGTGAGAGGAGCCTCCCATTACTCAAGGCCAGTGACAGAGCCATCTGTCCTGCTGTGGAGCTGGCCATGGGCATTCCCATTGAGCCTCAAAATAGGGGTAACAGGCTCCAGGGCCTGGGCCACCCCTTGACACTGTTGCCCTTAATAAGAGTCCCTGTCCAGGAGCAGACAGCAAACAGGGTGGGTGAAAGGGCAGCCTGAGATAATAAGCCCAGAGGGGTTGATCTTCGCTTCTAAGGAGCCCAGAGGGAGGAGGGAAGGTCCAGAGTACCCCACACAGGAGGAACGCAGTGCCAGTTAAGTGCCTGCTGTACAACATCCTCTTCCTAATTGACACAGCACTCCCAAGAAAAACACCTTTCTCATCTTTTAAAGTTGAGAATACAGAGATTCAGGGCCACCATTACTTACCCAAGGTCACCAGCTGGCCAGTGGCCAATGTGGGTCTCAGCTCTGTGTACAGCTCAGCTTGGAAATGCATATTGCCTCTGGGAGAGCCGATGTCTGGCTCAGGTGCCAGGATACAAAGGGAGGAGATGTCCTCTCTGCTCCCCCAAGGCCTCTACCAATAGGAGGCTGAGGGGCTACCTCCCCTTGCACTGCGGCCCACTCTTCTACAGAGTGAGATTGGCACTTGGAAGGTGAACCTGGTTCCCAACCACAATCCCGAGGTCACTCTAGGTTCAGACACAGCCCCCTTCTCCAACGAGCAATGTGTAACTGGAGGCCTCTTGAAACTAGACCAATTTGGCAAAACCAGAGCGAGCAGACTCAACTGATCGGGTAGTTGCAGGTCTGAAGATTGCAGCTTGTGGGGGCTGCTCATGACATTAGAAAACTGGTAACATGCAGTCACCGGGATGAAAAATGAGAG